GTATCGTTTATATTGCTTTTTATATATTTATTAATTTTTTGTAATTTTTCGCAAGTCAGTTATCAATTATCTTCTTCAACTGTATTTTTTGGCAATTCTATTCAGTCTTCAGTATTCAAGTTAAACAATCGAGAATTAAGCTAGCGGTTTATAGCCTGGAGAAACGTTTTTGTTGACTTGATTGTAAATATTACTATGGGTGTTTTAGGATGAGTTGATTTATTTTATATACTTGAATCATGCCAACGGGAGAGAAAACTACAAGTGCCTAGTTTGTCTCTAATCTAATATGGATGGTACCATTACAGATTACTAATGAAATCAGCTATGAGAACACGCTGAAAAGAAGAAGAATCTACCAAAACTATCTTCAATGAATTCATAATTCTTTAAATTTCTTTCACCAATCTCCTTTGACCTGACCTGAGCCTTTTATATGCCGAAATCCTCTAAATTGTCAAAAATTATATGAACTTTATAATTCTGCAGCCAATCAGAGCGCGCTACATTTATACCTGAAATTTGATGAACAGAAAATATATAAATTCAAGGCCTAAGTCCCAGATCGATTTAGTCAAATTCATTTTGGTCATTTATTACGGTCTGAGGATTTAGAATTTATAACATTTCTTCGATAGATTCATTCATTTTGGTAAACAGAAGAATAGTTTATAAAGTGAGAAGTGTTTTTTGTTCTGTTCTTTTGAATGTGTTTATGAATTTACCTCGCATTAATCACCTCCCCATAGATATCTAAATCTTGATGGTTTATAGTTTCTAACTATAAAGTATTCACATTGCTATGTTTTTAATATCTTATTCTGGGTTAGGACCGTGGTTATTAAATTAATTTTAATGTGACAAGCCTCTGTTCGAACTATAGGATTTTGGATTCTCTAAGAGAATTTTTAAAGTAGTTGTTATTCCATTTACTTAACATTGGTTATATATTTAAAAATTATAAACAATAGAGGACACCATCTGTGTCTGTGTCTTCTATCAAATAAATGAACGAATCCATTTTGAGAAAACATATGTAAAAAAAGTTTACGATGAATCCTCAGTCAGTAAACGGAACTATTTAAAAGTAACTAAATAAATTCCTCCAAAGAACTTTATTTGAATCAAATGTAGTGGCTTTCATCCTTGTTATCTTACATGGCATAGGACCAGTCGTTAAATACAACTAATCTAATAAGAAATACGTATACGAGAAATTATAGAAAAATATTTCAATATACATTTTATTTTATACACAATATATGTATTTGCTACAACTACTGAAAACTTCTTTGAATGTTCTTCTCTTATTCTTTATGGTTTCCTCTGTCAATTCATCTTGCTCTACTTCACGAGCACTTCATATAACCCAAACTCATTGTTTGTCTTTGGTCTCAACCACTTCAGTCTTCCCTAATGTTATTATATTGAAGATCAACACAAACAATTGTTAATTAATGTAGTGGTTAGATAAAAACGTGATTGGTCAAACATATTACAACACCTGAATGACCTCGTTAATGATAACTAAATAATAAGTTAATGTTTCAAATAGGAAGCGCATTTAAAAATGGTTTATCAAGTGTTACATATTCAAGTTGTTTAGTAATAATATGTATAAGAATACAATAAAAAGGTATCTTTTCAAGCAGTAACACCGGTGCAAACATTAAACTAAAAGAGTTTACCTTCATCATCATAATCAAATTTCCTCATTTTTTCCAATTGCCGTGGTCTACACAGCATTCATAAGTATCGGCATACTGAGTAGGTACTATGAGGAGAAATTAATTTTTAAAATGATGCTTTGCTTTACGTAAAATACCAATGAATTTCTGTATTCCATAATTTAAAATTAAGTACAGCAAAGAATTTGTTTATTAATTTATATTAAATCCTTTTGAATCCTTGTTTGTTAAATTAAATTTTGAAATATTGAATTGATTAAAATAAAAGGTTTCAGGTTGATTATATTACAAACAAAAGGAGAGGACGAAAAATAAACAACAAAAAATTATGAACAAGAAGTACAAGTAGGTAATTTGTAATAATTTGATGAAGATAAGTCGTTAATTAATCATGAAAGTTGATTAATTATCGTTTATTTGTTGATCATCAAAATAATACCATCTAACTAGCTCATTAAGTTAATGTAAGTCCCCGCCATGAAGCTTGATATAAAAACAAATACAAACATCAAAGTATCATCAGACGGATTTTATTAGTTGACACATGTTGATATAGTTATAAATATTATTATCACAATGGAGATGAGTCTATCTGAAATCTGCGAGTTGTTAGGAGACAGCATTGAACGATACAACAGAAGGAAACGCAAAAGTAACGTTTCTAACAACAGAGTGAAGAAACTGAAATCCTCGACATTCACTACCCCTCTGTCCTCGTCCACACCAATAGACATTGAAAGTAAGCCACAGGAAGCTGCTCGTGCTGTGAACTGGAGTGACGTTGAGTCTCCGACATCATCAGTTAGTGTGACCTGCCTTCATACGTTACGAGGGAGTCCGGACAGACGCTGGGTGCGGAGAACACTTAACATGCAACCGAAGAAGTTGACCTTTGACATTGAGGAAGATTGAAGTGACCCAGAACAAAGACGAACAATGAGTCTGGGATCTAGGAAGTGCTCGTGAAGTAGAGCAAGATGAGGCGATTGAGACGATTATAAAGAATAAGAGAAGAGTGAAGAACATTAGTAAATACTTTATTCTGTATAAAATAAATGAAATATTGAAATCCTTTTGTCTTTTATTATTTCTATTATTTTTAACAAAATGACGAAAAAATATTAGAACAGTATACCAACAAATTTAATAGTCCCGTTTCATTTGACAATAAACGGACTTTTTACGAGATTTTAAACAATAAAAATATGTAGCACTTCTCGAACACTAACACATGCATAGTTTTACACACACACATACAAACATTTCCTGCAAACATACACGAGATTTGTAGATCGTCCTTAAGAATTTTTGTATGGAAAGCAGAGAGTGGTTGTGCATACCGCCGCTCTGGCTGCATAGCGGCGCTAGCAGTTAGCAGCGGCCGATCGAAAATTTTTCGTTTTTACATTGATAGATGGCACTTATAACAAATCGTGAATCAAATATCATTTTAAATGTATGTAAACATTTGTATTTCGTAATGTATGATTGATGAGTATATAAGAGTTAAACAATATGGGTTTAGTTGTTATATGGGTAGGGTATGCAGTGCTTATTTGCATCTATGGTGTGCAAGCCACTACAGGACATTAGGGTTAAATATTGTTATCACTGTTTATGGTTGTGTTTGTTTGAGATATTTCCCTCAGAAATGATCTTTTATTTGCAGTTTCAATAAAAATCCGTTTTATTTCAATATGATTTATTTTAAATATCTATTCAAGGTATGATATTCATTATACTATATTCTTTAAGCAATACTGAACAAAACTATAAAATTTATACGTCACAAACGTCTATAGATACTCAGAATAAATTATTAATAAAAAAAATCCATCTCATTGCGGTAACAGGTTACAAGTTAAATTATATTTACACAACTCATACTCGACTACATACACTTACCTGGCTTTTATCGTACCTCAGATTCTACGACCATGTAAAATTACAAAATGTAAATATATCCAAACATCATTTCCAATATGGCGTTTATATTTTAAAATATTTCCGAATATTAGGCGAAAATCAATTCCTAATCTAATACACGTGGTTTCAACCAATTCCAATTTATATAAGAACTTCTTTTTGATTGTAATTCACTTACAACATTTTTTTGAGATAAATTTTGATGTATGGCAACATTTAATATGTTGTTCTGTTAATTAGAGTTCGTATTATTTTCCTTCATTAAAATCCTGCTAATATTTATTATATTCATTACATTTATACGATACAATATATCTATCACAATCAATATTTAAAACGTGTTGTATAGGCTTTATTAGTCCATTATAAAACCAGTCCAAAAAAAATTATTAAAAAAACAGTCTTACATACATTCACATGTCCGGGGTCAATGACATTTTGTTAAAAAAAATATTCGTTTCATTTCCAAAACAATGTCTTACAACCGATGAGAGTCGACTAGCTTTTTGGCGTCAATACAAAAACATCCAAAAGAAAAATCGGCGATGCGAACAAAATAAAGTCAAATAAATTCACCAAGGTCATTGGCATCACATTACAATATAAGATTTCTTTACATCACCATTATAACTTGAGCTCTATGTACAAGCAATAAATTACATCTATTAACAATTAGTCATAATGTCCACGGAAGATACTGTAGTTAAACTTGACTGAACGCCTTAACTCGGCGGGAGGCGCTACCGGGTAAAATTTACCACATAGTGCATACTTTCGAAAATATTTATTTTTGTAAGTAATTTTGTGCAGCGCCGTTTTAGATACCCTTCGACAGATGTTCGAAGGTTCGACTAATAAAGAAAATCGTGAGATTACTTGAAGGTGTTGTCTCTTGTATTGCCACAAATTAAGTGTAAATCTAACATCTTAAACCTGCCTACATACATTTATGAAAAGTAAAATAATACTTGGTGGTAATTGCGAGCAAAATAATAATATTCTGAATAAACAACAGGAAAGAGCCCTCCAGCCACACTAGCAAATTTTTCATTTTCTGCACAAAATGGCTGAGTTTTTGGGCTATGTTTAAAAATTCCAAATATTACATATTATACCAAGCGTTATTAGTTTCCAACTGTCTTGTTTAATTGAAAATGTAGCACAATATAATATAAAAATTGGTTAATTAACCATAAAATAACTCTAGTTCTTATATTAATATTATTGTGGTATTTTTTACCCAGTAGCGACAGTCAGTGTTGGTGTATGGGGTGCGCCTCCCGCCGAGTTAAATTAATCGATCTACGTATAAAGAAATCAAATATCGTATGTGAGTTATCACATATCAATATATATATATAGAGTAATATTAATTGTTCTGTAGTATTAATTCTTCTGTCTCTCTCTAGAATCTTCTCTGCCTACGGGTCGTGGTGGTGAGTCTCTGCCCCTGGCTTTAGCTTTCCTGGACCTCTTAAACTTGGCTACATCATCCCCAAATACGTCTCCGGTTCTCAAAGCAGAGATGAGGTCATCGAACTCTCCTTTCTGTCCGTTAGTCAAAGTCCCGTCTTTTGCTTCATGTCCGTTGCAATCTCCGTTGCTCTTTCCGAGAGACTTCCCAACAGATCCTAGTAGACTTGAGCCCTGTTTTCTTTCCATGGTCCGTTTCTTGAGCTATAGAAAGAAATATTTGAATTATTTATCTAGTACTTTCGCGAATATTCATTTAAATGACAATAACATCTGCCGTCATCAAGATTTCGTATTTGTGATCATAGATGCTGAAAAGTAACCGACACTTCGGGAGTACGTAGCTTTAAAACAATAGAATAAACGTATATAATATAAGTTTCATATAAATATCTGAAAATATATTCTAATTTCCCATGTATGTCCATATCGCCTAGGATAGTGCAAATCCGCGTAACTAGCATTGGATAACTCCGCATATCTACATTGGAAGCAGATTATCAGAAGAAAGTTTAAGCTGAAATATTTTCTATATTAACGACTTTTAAGGTAATTTTTCAAAATAAGTAATTACAGTAATACCCCGCTTAACGCGACCCCGTTGTGCACGGTTTCACTATAACGCGAATTTCAAAACTTATTCAGGTTTCGACATATTGCAGAGTATAGACAATAATGATGACCATGTCTTGAACGTGTGTCAAACAATTAAAAACAGTGTTGGGTGTTATGAACTTATTTTACAAGAACGTAAACAAAACGCTACCCAAAAGACAATACATGTACATATTTTTTTATTTGTGTATTAAATTTTGACTGTGTTTAATCCTAAACCTCGATATACGCGAATGTCAGTTAACGCGATTTTCTTAGGAATGTATCCCTCACGTAAAGCGGGGTATGACGACGAAACTTCTCAGCATTCCATGGATTCACCGTGCGGGTGCCGGGTCCATCGCGTTGCAGGGGGAGGAGCTTCAACAGTGCCTGGGACTTGCGACCCAAGTGTAGGTTTAAGGGGCCCCTTAACTAACGCGCGTTATACGCTCACCTCCACTGTCCAAGCTCCTCTCCCTACCTAACCAAATTTGAAAAGAACCTACTAGGGCTGCCTTCGATGTACGTTCCAAGAATGCATTAATGTGAGTTCTGGACAAGCCCAAGTCCTTTAGTAGGTTATAGAGAGATTTCGCTGTTATACCTCTCGCTCCCACCTCTACCGCGTACAAATCTACTACGAACCTATTTCGAGTGAGTTCGTTTGTGAGCTCGTAATATTTGTTGACCTTGATGGTATGGTCTTTGGGGATGTTGGTTTCCCAAGGGACCGTAAGCTCTATCATCACTACGCGCTTTAAAATTCGCGAAAACAAAAATATATCCGGTCTGGAGGCCGACGCACAAATATCCTCGGGGATTTTATATTGTTTTTCATACGTGTCCATCATTATAGTCCAATCCGACGCCGCTTTAAGGATGGAGTAAGGCTTGACGTTTGATTTTGTAGCCCTAGAGCCTTCTCTCACAAAACCTACTGATCGTTCGTTTGTGGTTATTCCCTTTTGCGCTCTGGCTACCGAAAGACTAACCGCTTCACGTATGACTTCTAGAACCCTATCGTGACGACGCGAGTATTGACCGCTGTCCAGGAGTACCTTACATCCCACCAGCAGATGCTTAGCAGTTCCAACTGCCTTTCCACAGATATAGCAAGTTTTTTCGGTACTTTTACCCCATCTTACTAAATTACTCTGATCTGGGAGAGTCATCTGGAACGCATTGAGATAGAATTTTAGCAATGCTGGCGACCAATCATAAATTAAAGTGCGCCATTTTAATGCTAATGGGATGCAAAAATCTCCTATGTCTAACCACTCGTTCTGCATTTCTAAATTCATTGCATGGATCTTATATTTATCATTCTCGTCTTGCCGAATAAAAGACTTCAATATATCCGCATCTTGGACTTTCCTATTTGATCCTAACCCCGCTCTGTTACTTTGCGCTCCTATCATAAATTGCTTATGGAATTGAAGTCGTGACTCTAGCTCGGGGGCATCTTCATCTTTTGGGAGCGATGTCACTATGTCATCATGGGATTTCCCCAGGATATATCTCTTGGAAACTCTTAGGTGTTTATAGAGCTCCGATGGCCTTTTTAGACTCATCCCAAAACTATTGCTTCCCCTAAATAACGCCGATGAATCAGCCGTTAGAGCGAGCCCGAGCCACAACTTCAACATCTTTATGACGCCTGCATCTAACTTTGACAAAAGGGTTTTATTAAAATCATAGACGAGGAAAGGCCAATTCAAACGTGAAGTTAAGTAATTCTCGTAGATCCACGCTTTTTTGACGTTACTTATCAGTTGGCTATCTACCTTGTTAAGATCGTTCAAAAAGCTATCTACTATTCCTTCTAAAGATGGAGTACGGCCTATATTATCTATCTTACGACCGAGAAATTTAAATGGGCATTTTCCGTAACCGTAGAAATGCATTGACCGCCTAACGATAGTCCCGGATCGTATGAGGTGTATCTTGTATTCCGCCTACCAAGACACAGACAGTGACATTTACTGGGTTTTGTCCTCAATCCATCCGTCCACTCACAGAATTTATCCACTTCATCCAATAGTACCTGACAGTGTTTGGGGTTACGTGTCAGTATTGCGAGATCGTCAGCGAAGGCTAAAATGGATTCCGTGTATTTATTATTAAACTTAAACCGATAACCCCATTTTTTCTCGTTACAGATTAATTTGTCTACTAAGATGTTAATTACGATATTAAACGCAATTGGAGATAGACAACAACCTTGAAACAGTCCTACATTATAACTCAAACTTTTTGAAGGGCCTTCTTTAGTTATTATAGAAAACCTTAATTTTGAGTAATACGACGCGATCATATCTCTAACTAGGGGTGGAAAGTTGTACCATCTAAGCGCGAATAGCATCAATTCGTGTTGTATCGACCCGAACGCGTTCTCCAAGTCTATCCAACAAACAGTGATTTGCCGCTCGCTTTTTCTAGCATATCTGTATTTAAGTTTAATTAACGTGTTTTTGTGTATCTTAGTATCTCCCTCCCTCACCTCCTGCTCGTGTCGAGTCCTCCTCTCCTCCTCGTCCCTCCTCCTCCTCGCCGCGTCACACTCGGCCCTCGCCTCAGCCAGCTGCGTGAGGAACGAATCCAGAGCACCGAACAGTTGTTCAGGGGAGGTGCTCGGCTCCTCTCCGAACGCGTGAGCACACGCTTCAAGACGACTCTTCATATCCTAGGAATAGTTAATAGAAGAGATTGTTAGAACGTTGAATATATAATCATTAAACTTTTAATATTCATAGTATTCTGGTACTATTTTATATTTAAGAAAACTCATATTGAGAAAATACAACTTTATGACTTATAAAACGACAGTATAAATACAGGAGAGACTAAAGACTATAGAAACATTTTATAAATCGACTGTAATCATTTTTGTTCATACTAAAGAATATTCTTATCTATTTATTTATACGCAAATTAAACATAGAACTATAATTTCACATTTCACATCTCGTCTGCCCGTGATCACGGTTACTGTAAAGTAACCGAAACGTCGGGAGTATGTAGTTTATAATCAAAAATAAAAATCACGTAGTACGTCCGAAAAATATTAGTTCAATTTAAATAAATGCTCGCGAAAATCTTAGTCTTATCTTATACAGGAATACAATTCTAAGAAATTTTAAAAAAACTTATCCATAAACATGATCTATAAAGAAATTAAACAATTAAGCATCAAACCAAAGCTCTTGTATATTGTATATCATCTAACCTGGAATAAATCTTCAAGCTGTGTGAATGAGCACACAGCGTGAGCGTGGAACTCCCTCATTACAGGAACGAAGGCGTCGTGAGGCTGCGAGGAGAGCAGAGAGGCGTGGTAGTCTAGTTCTCTTGAAACCTCTCGCAAGCCAGTCCTCAAAGAACCCACGTCCTTCTCTAACTGGTCGACACATACTTTAGCGGCTGCGCGGACGTGGGGTAGATCTTCTTCCAAGAGAAGAACGTCCTTGAACTGGAATTATAATATCAGTAGATGAGAAACTTGTCTACTCTAATAATAATTCGTAGTTTTTGAATCTTGTCTAAATCTTAGTAAATTTTTGGAAAGTCCAATGAAAATTATTTACTTATCCAATTATAATAATGTTTATATATAAATTATCAACTACAGATAATGTATATAGTGAATCTATAGCAGAAATTTTATACTTACTATACATTTTATGGCACAACGATCTGACTTTACTGATTAACTCTCAGAAATTATACATTTAACTCAATTTATCTTGTACAGTTTTAAGGAATTTTTTGATCGATTCTAATGATTTTTATTTCAGTGACTCCATTAAAGCCTAAAGGGATATTTGATTCAAAACAAGAAATCTTAAGAACTATAAAGAAAATTCAAGTCGAAATAATCCTACTAATATTATAATTGCGAAAGTTTGTGAGTGTGTGTGTATGTTTGTTACTTCTTCACACTCAAATGGGAGAACCGATTTTGATAAAATTTTGTATACAGGAAGCTGACGTCCGGGAATAACACAGGGTAATTTACAACCCGGAAATCCGCGGGTGACACCGCGGGGCGCAGCTAGTTTATGTATAAATGTTAGTATATCTGTGTATACCTGAGTCTCCAACATTTCGACTAAGTAGTGTAGGAGAGTCGTGTTCCTTGTTACACTGGACTTGGTGTCAGCCAGCTTGTTGAGTGACGTCAGACGGAAACCGGAAGCGTTGCCGCGAGCACCTCTACATATACATAAAGGCTTTAAATATATATAGAATAAGACAAATAGTTCAAGCTGGAGTAAATTTCTGAAGAATTTTTGACCAATTTAATGAATAAATTGGTGTTTTTTCAATTCATAACACAAGGTTGATGTTGACACTTCATAATGATATGTTTCATAAAATACAAATTATAATTTTAGTTATGAAAATGATATAAGTTGTTGATGAAAAATTAGATTCAGAAACTTCTGTTCTACATATATAAAATCAGAACCCATTACGAGTTTTTAACAATAACTTAAGAATACTATGATTATTCCCAAAGAGGGTTGATGTCAGGCAGGCGGCCGGTCGTAAAAACGATTAGCCAAAACTATTTACAACATGGAAGGCAGAGCCTGGCTAAATCTGGGAAATTTCCAGGGAGAAAAAGAAGACTACTATAATTTCTTGTTTTAATCAAATTTCCTGTTCCAATATTAGCTTACCGGTTCATATAATTGCCAAGCGCTAGTACAATTTCTAAAAGTGCTCTAAGTCTTCTAGATCGCGTCATGTCTCTTGCAGCTCTCAATACTACAGAGGCTCGTGAGGAAGCTTCTGATACAGCCAGCGAAAACTTCTTCTTGAACAGAAGAGTCCTCACACGCTGAGAGTAATGAGGAATCCTGGAAGAAGAATTGTGTTTAAGCTATTTTGGACCATAAAAACATGTGTATATGTTTTATTATTACTTTTAGTAGCCGTTTGTTAGATGACAGTTTCTCCAAGACGTATCTTGTAACATAACGATTTAGCACAAATTTTCTCAATTTGAAAACTCAGGTTGATGCACTTAGTATAATACTATATACATTTAAACTGCTTCTTTTCTTCCAATTGTTAGCTTTCGAAGTTATGCACGGCGAAATAATGAAAAATTTCTATCTTTCTTTGAATAGAAAATAATGTAAATCATTTAATATAAGAATTAAGATCGTTGAATAGTCCCATATTGGTGATAACACTTTAAGTTATGCATGTTTAAGTTATGAAATATGTATCTTTCTGCCAATACAGAAACAATATAATTTAATATAAGAAGTTATAACGTAAAGGTAGCTGACCGGATTATATAGTTTATATCAAAAAATAAAGTCGCGTAGTATATCCGCATCATATTAGTTTCATTTAAATAAATACTCGCGAAAATCTTAGATCTCGTAACGTAATATGTTATAAGGTGTAATGGTTTCTTACTTGGAGATCTCGTATAGGAACCGGTCAGCTCGCGCCATGTTGTCTAGCTCGTCCTGGTGTTCCTCTAGCAAGGCGGCCTCCTCGGCGCTGGGAGTGAACTTCAACAGCTGCTCCAACATGTCCAGCGGAAGCTGCTCCCCGCTGTCCATACGGAGGATAGCGCTGGGGAGGTCATCATATATTAGATAACATCGATTTGACACAATAAATGAATATAAGAGGAAAAAATAAGAAAAAGGTAATGGTCAAAAGAAAAAATACTTATAAGATAACATCGATTTGACACACTAAATGCATAAGAGGACAAATATAAGAAGAAAATCGTTTTTTTTTAATAAAAGCAAAAATATAAGAGGAAGATAAAAGAAAAGACTGATTTGTCCTCAAGAAAAATACCTTGCCTTGTGAATCTATAAAATAATCTAAATTTTAATCAAACTATACAGGGTGACTGGTGAATTACTATCAATATTTAAGGAGCATACTCGGTACATGATTCTCATTCGAATTATGTAAAAAAAATAGGTACTTAATTTTTGACCAAATTTCCGTATAAATAAATAAAGTGTGTACACGTTCCAAGTGTTCCGAGTGTGGGCGCGTGCGGCGGCGTGCTGATACAACACTACGCCGCCGCCGCGTCTGTGTGAGTGTGTGTGTATACCTAATCTGTAGGGTGTTCATACGATGCGTAATTAATTACATAACTTTTGGTTAACTTTACTAAGAAGTTTATTAATATTTATGTTATATTAATTTTTATTTTGTCATATATGATCGTCAAATATTACGTCCTCAAATATCGATAGTAATTCACCAGTCACCCTGTATATAAATGGAGAAAAAAAATGTTGTAAGGCATTTAACAGCTAGTTTCGAGTCATTAAAAAAGTGCAAGCATTCTCCTTTTTTTTTAAATAAAAATCGAGTATGAGATCATTTTAGTATATTCCAGTATTGCCAACCTAAGGAATATATATATACATATATATGAATAAGTATGATCATACCGACAAATCTCTTCATCGGTCATCTTCAGTTTGGACAGCAGTATGGTACAGTTCTGCGCTCTTCTGCCGTCGATAACTGACAGTATCTTGGAGCGAGGCTTGGAACCTAACTGACGGAGATCTTCTACTGAACCCTCGTTCTGGAAATAATTATAATAGATAATTATTTATTTATTATTAGGGAAACATACATACATCGTATAATACAACATAATATAATAATCATATTTTAACACTTATGCCAGTTAAGTTTCCACTACTGTTTTAAAAGGGAAGTGTAACATAAAATACAACTATTAATTAATTACTAATAAGTATTTTTAATATAGATAATAGATCAATTGTTCCAGACTTACAAGAAGTTATCGAATTTGGTATCTTGCAAACAGATGTTTTTGATTACTAATATACATTCAGTTACTATTAAGATCATTAAGGATTGCTTTAAAATATAATCCAAGTTTCTTTGATGATATTGCTGTGAAAAGACATGAAAATAGGATAAAGTTTGTTCAGACATTTGATTTTTATGTTATATATTATAATAATATAATATTCCTATGTACAGATGTGATTTTTCCTAGTCATATGTATTTTCTAAGAGTATTTAGACATCATTGACAGATGAAGGAAAACATCGTAACGAAAACTGGAGTTATAAATTCAAATTATAATTTAGAAATCGCCAACCCGTCTTGAGCAAGTGTGGTGATTAATGCTCAAACCTTCTCCATGTGAGAAGAGGCCTTTGCTCAGTAGTGGCCACTGATAGGCTGATGATGACGACGATGTACAGATGAAAACGTTCATATCCTACTAATATTATAATTGCGAATGTTTGTGAGTGTATTTTTGTTACTTCGTCACGCTCAAAGGGCTGAAGCGATTTGGATAAAATTTTGTATATAAGAAGCTGACATCCAGGAATAAGACATAGGCTACTTTGCATCCAGGAAATCCGGTAACACCGCGGGTCGCAGCTAGTATTATATAGGTACCTGTACTCCATTCTTCTGGTAGGCGCAGAACATCCTATCTATAGCGTGCAGGTCCATGTCGTTGTACAGCTTAGTATCATCCAGCTCCTGCCATATAGTGCCGTGCAGCTTCGCGTCAGGTAGTTTGCTCCAGTTGAAGCTCTTCAGCGGGTTGCCGGGCGTCGGTACGTTCTTCTTCGGCCGCGGGGGAGCGGGCGCGGGAGGAGGGCCCGCGGGAGCGGGAGGGGGGCAAACAGTGGGGGGAGGAGGGCATAAGGACGGCGGAGGAGGGGGAGGGGGCGCGGAACACGTCTCAATGACGGCGCTCTTGAGGTTACTGACCTGAAAAGGTATGAGGTCTTGATTGAATATTCATATAGAAATTTTTTGTTCAAATTCATTGACACGAGTATTATAGAGATTCGACAAGTGACAGAATATTAAAGTTTATTTAGAATTTTTTGATTACAAATGTACGAGTGGAGTAGTGATTTGATTAGATACAGAATATTAAACTTTATTTATTTATTTACAACAAGCACACTTACGACATACATATTGAATATTTACAGTTGAAGTGACTATATTATAACATCAGATATGTACGTCAATTGCAAGTGTTCATAACATTTACTAAAAGTTCAATTGCTTTTAGCGTTACTTCAGATCATAATGCTGTCAAGTTATATACATTTGTTAACTTTTTTGTACGTACGTATTCATTTTTTTGTATGTTCATTTTGATTAGTATTAATTTTTTTTTGTTTTATTGTCATCAGTTCAAGGTTTTAAAAATAATGACATACTATTCGAAATCTTTTTTATCCATATTTTGTTACAAATAATACATTAGGATATATTATGTATCTTAACTTCTACTATTAACTCTGTATTATCAAATGTAATATCCATTCTATATCTAACCTTAGCGTCATCAGGTATGCTTCCTTCACTCACTAGTTTCTCGAACCTAACTCGTTCGGCTCGCTCTTGGTTCAACTAAAAAAAAAATATATACATTTAAAATAAAAAAAACCAATAAAACGAATATATATACACAACTGGCAAGTGGAGTAAAATAATAAACGACCACAAAAACAATGATAAAGATTTATTGAAATATCAAGATCACTTTCTTTTGCTACTTTTTGGGTTTAAGAACTTTATTTAAAAGAATTTACATTCACTTGAAACAATAATACAATTATAAAAAAATTTGTTGGGTAGTTCGACAACGATTTCGACTTTTTGATTCAATACATATAAGGCCAGGAGTATCTCCCGTCATCTCTATCTATCTCTATCTATCTATCTCTCTATCTCTCTATCTCTATCTCTCTATCTCTATCTCTCTATCTCTATCTCTCTATCTCTATCTCTGTCTATCTCTATCTCTACCTGTTGTTCCAGCTGGTGCGCCCTACAAGCCGATGATCTAGCTCTCTCCGTACACTCCATGTGAGCGGCCGTCTCTCTCTCCAATCTCTCTTTGAGTCGCGACACAACTCCCTCCAACTCCTCCTTCTCTTGCGTGTGTTGGTCGACTTGCTTCTCCTGTTAGTTGTTAGTAATTCCATTACCGTGCGATAGTATAAAATTCCTATTATATCTAAATTAGTGATGTAGTAAAGTTATTTGTAGGTAATCGTGTGATTATTGATCTAGAATGGTCCCATATATTATGGATTTCATTTATAAAGCTAATGTAGTGTTGTGACCATTTATTTAATGCTTATTACGTGATGAAACCGCTACCGAATGTATTGGCAGTGATCACAGTTAAAAATCAAGAAACTGTGAATAATTAGTGATGAATTATAAGAATTCTATCGCCCCCCAAAAAAAAAGCATCCATGTAAATTTTTGTTTGGCTATCAGTATGAATGATTTTCATAGTTAATATCGCGTTAGGATATATCATGAATGTTTTATATTACCTTTTTAGCTAGTTCGGTAGCGAGGTCGACGTTTTCCCTTTCCAAGTTATCAGCTTTATTCCTCGCCGCTACTAATTCCTCTTCCTTCGCCAGTAGCTGTACGATCTCCCCAACATTTATCTCCAATGGAGCTACGTCTGGGTTGTACACCTGGAAATATATATTATAGAGGAAAACATAAGAAAAGGAATGATTTCTTTGATATGTTACTAAATTTTATATATTTTGTACGATTTATATTCCTTACTGAGTCGATAAGTTCTTCTGTTATCGAGTAACCTAATCACAATATCAGATGTTAATACAATTGTACAGATATCCAGAATTAATTTTTAACCAACTTGTGTTATTAGAAAAGCGCTGTCTATAACAGCACGTTTCAAAAGTTGTTTGATAATATTTTGTTTGGCTTATGATAAAGAAGTCTACCAAATAACACATCAATGTGATACTATCTATACAATAGATAATAACTGTCGCACGATATAATAACGAAACCAATATTGATGATTGATAGCTTTTGAGATAACATTTCTACATAGTATAGACTTTAATAAAATCATATTTTAAAGTTTATTAGCCTACAAATCCCTATATTTCTAACGGATATTACAAGATATTCTATACGGTATTTTTAAGTCAGTGGTGGCCTAGTGGTTAACAGGCCCGTCTCTCATGCTTGACGCGCGGGTTCGATCCTGATCCTGGCAAGTACCAATGTGATTTTTCCGAGTCATATGTACTTTCTAAGAGTATTTGGACATCACTGATTAACGCATTCCCAAAAGAGGGTTGATGTTAGGCAGGCGGCCGGTCGTAAAAACAATTAGCCAAAACTATTCACAACATGTAAGGTAGACCCTGGCGAAAGCTGGGAAATTGCCAGGTAGAAGATGACTGACTAACCTTATTATCAGCGCCATCTCTCCCAGGCGCCTGCAGCACTATCTGCTGCACGACCCGGTCCAACAGCAGCCAGTGCTGCGAGTGAGGGTTGTATTCCACTGGAAAAAACACGTATTGAAGGGTCATCTTTGTTTGACAATTTATGGCCAACTCAATTAAAGTCGATGCAATGATTAGATAATTTTTTGCGATCTAAAAGTTTTTTTTTGTGTATTTTTTATATACTGGAATTATGAAGAAACTATTTATTTATTTAAAACTTTATTGTCTAACTACAATAACGTAGACACAAAAGGCGGACTTAATGCCTGAAGCAGTGGCGGCTGGTGGGTTATCGAACTGGGGGTTCACTTTACTAAAATATTGACAAAAACAACAATTGACATAAAATATGTTTATTTTTTGTACATTAAATCAATGCGACGACATTTTTCTGTAGCGAAATGTTCTATCACCTTTTTATTAAAATCTGATTCCAGTTTCTGTCCAAATCGATTCTCCGCCAAAAATAATGCAAGGAAAACAAAAGAATGTATTAAGACGCTCACATCCACACAACCATTTCTTTCTATTATACATTTCACTTTTAAAACTTCGTATAAATGCTTTATTTTTCGATTTACACTCTTGTTTTAAATTTAAAAAAGGCCGTGGCGGCCCGGCCAATTTTATGTTCACTTTACTTTGAAAAATTTTGTTAATTTCTTTAATATAATCAATATTTATACTCATTTTCAACTAATAAAAAACACAGTACAGAATAAAAGTTCTATTATAGAAACGAAATAAAAACTAAAACGAATTACGGAAATAATTATAAACAATAACGAATTAACGCGTCACGCATACAGTGAAAGTTGAAACAATACCAATAACGATTAACGAAATGTCAATCATAGCACCCATCCTTTCGGCCGGCCCCTTGCCGGCCGGCTCAATACGTCATACATCGGGTGCTCTCGGTGACCTTCGGCCGCTTCGTGCGGCGCGCGAGAACCGACTCGTTACTCGGTACATTTCTATGAACTATCTTTTGTCTCACGCGCCAGGCGTATTGATGCGTGTCTCATACAAGATGTATTAGCAGTCCTCGTGCACTCGCCGGAGCGCACGATATGAGTTTAGTAAAGCGCTCAAACTTTTTGACCATAATTGGAAATTAAATTTTTTATACCTTTTTGTATGTTTAAAAAATAAATATTAAAATGGTAATTTAAAAATTAAGATGACATAATATTTTGTAATTTTTAAATATTTTGAATTGGTGGTTCAGCGCACGGGCGCACTTAAGGTACAGCCGCCACTGGCCTGAAGGCATTCTCTACCAGTCAACCTTTAGGCAAAACAGAAAAATTGTGAAGACGGTAGCAATAAAAGTTAAAATAAGCGTATAAATTTATATTGAAGTGAATAGTGAAGTTATAAGGGAATCTATTGCAAGGAGTATATTTAGTGCATATAGAGAAGGGTCATCTTTGTTTGACTATTTATGGCCAACTCAATTAAAGTCGATGCAATGAATAGATAAATTTTTTGATGTATAAAAGTATTTTTTTGTGTATTTTTATATACTGGAATTTATTTATTTATTTATTATATCGTAATCGTATCGTATACATATATATTGTATCTATTTTTTTTTATGTATTAAATAATTTGTACACCTCTAGCATCATAAGGTTGCCTGCAAGAGATCGCTGTTTTAGCGATAAGGCCGCCTATAGTACATTTTTGTTTTCTTTGTTTTACTCCTATTATTTTTGTCTATATTGGTGTGCAATAAAGAGTATATAAATAAATATAGATAGAGTATATTGAGTGTATGCTCACATGGCAGCAGCAGCAGGTGTTGCAGCAGTGACAGCAGGTGTCCGTAAGCAGCTGTATGGCTCAGCTTCCTCCTCAGCAGCTCGAACATAGCAGCAGCGCTCTTAGTGTCCACGTGTGTGTGTTCGTACCGCCTGGCAAGTTCCCTCTCATCCTCAAAACGAACCAACTCGAAGAACTCGATGTGACGGTCGAGGGTCTCGTTCTCGTATTTACGTAGTTTCTCGATTACTGAAAAATATTATTTTTGGTCTTAGTACGAAGTTTTATCATATTTAAGAGTTTGTTAAGCTAGCTTTTTGTGAGTATGACGTGCAAGTTGATTTGGTTTGCAAACGGCAAAACTATGTGGAGTTTTTGGAAACGAGGACATTAATTGACTGAGAAACGTCGCTGAGTGATTGACGTTTATATTATAAGTTACAAATGAAGTGACGGGGATGAGACAATCTTGATCCGTTATTTTGTTGTTTTATTTTTCTATTCAATTTAAATTTCTGTAATAATAAAAATGTCAGGAAGAGAAAACAGCATGTTATATTTATAAAAGAAATAGTAAGGGCTTGTAAAACAATGTTAGAGTACATTTTCTCTGGTTCAGTTAATAAAAACTTATGCAAAGACATGGTGTCCTTACTCATGGGAGCTAGAAAATATTTCTATGATATAATTACAATCTTATCATCGGTTCAAAATTATCTGGCAAAATTTATTTCACCTAATATTCAATATTAAAAACACTACAGGTTAATTTCAATAATTAACTATCGTGTGATTATTGACTTAGAATGGTCCCATATATTATGGATGTTTCATTTATAAAGCTAATGTAGTGTTGTAACCATATCATTTTATAATTATTACTTGACTAAACACCGCTACCCAATATTGGCAGTGACCACAGTTAAAATCAAAAAACTTTAAGGTATTTGTGATAAATTATAGGAATTTAATCACCCCCCAAAAAAAAATATATAAATTAAAATTATAAATCTTTCTTACCTGGTTGTATTCCCAACATGAGTAGTTCGTATCTTAAATGTAGTCTGAATTCAAGACTTTCTTCTCCCGGGCCGTAGTTTAGTACAGCGTTTACGAATGACATGATAGCCGTTTTGAGCCCCAAGTCATCTCTATACGCGCCCGTACTTCTGTCCAATTCATTCACTATACCCTGAAACCTCGCTCGTTCGCCTGCGTATTTCTGGTAATGTATCATCGCTTCTAGGACCTATAAAATTGATACAAAAAAAGTTGTAATCCTTATAACAGCTGATAGACATAACACGAAAAAATTTCAAACAAAATAATATCATAATTATAGCTAATTTTTAATAATATACACTTTGTTTAAGTAGGAAATGTGCAAAATGCTAGAAAATCAGTAATTTGACCTGGCTAAACCGAAGAATACATCTTACTAATATTATAATTGCGAAAGTTTGTGAGTGTATGTGTATGTTTGTTACTTCTTCACGATCAAACGGCTGAACCGATTTTGATAAAATTTTGTATACAGGAAGCTGACGTCCAGGAATAACATATAGGCTACTTTACATCCCGGAAATCCGCGGGTAATACCGCGGGACGCAGCTAGTATACTATAACAGAAGTATACATGGAATATACTAGTAATGTTTTCGTGGTTTCACCTTCTTATGACCGCCAGGTACCAGACAGACGGCTCCAAGTATTTCCAGGGCTGCCACTTTAGTCTTAACGTTCTCGGTGTCCATGGACTGTGCTATCAGATCTATACTGGTAGGATGAGCCAGCACATGAGCTCGACCGGTCTATAAAATATAAATTATAATTGAATTAATAACTTAGGAATACAATTTTTATACTACATATATGTAAACTTTTCTTTTTGGCACAGCCCTAAACTGTTTTTTTCGTTTTCATATCTAATGTTGATAGTTAGCATTAAGTTTATATTTTCTGCACTATTTGTATATATGTTGCAAAAGAAGATAAATAAATATAATATCAGTAACCTCTATTATTGTTGTCTATACCATATTAATTTTACTATATATAGATGGATCCATTCAACATGACGAAATTTTTATTCAATTGACAAGATCACTTCAAAATGAGAATATAATCATATCTATTATTTCAATAGTGACAATCTTTTAGCAAACGACGACAGCAAAGAAAAATTTGTCGTAGTTATTCCATTTTTTGTCAAATTTCACCGTGAAATCATTATAATGGACTATAACTCACAGAATTGTTCATGAGAGCCTTAATCCCAGCTATAAGGTTGTGTCGTGTGATAGCGTCATCTCTGGGCGCCCTCTGTAGGGCCTCCAACAAGGCGGCCAAGCCTCCCTGTTTTATGAAACGTAGAACAAAGCTGTGGGCCCGAGTCCTTAAAGCTGTCTTCAAACCATCTACAAGACCTGTAGCTTCACTGGGAGGAGCATTCTCTGATGATGCGAACGCCTACCACAATGAAAAAATCGTTTTTAATATGTAAAAATATATACTTATACAGGGTGACTGGTGAATTACTATCGATACTTGAGGACGTGATATTTGACGATCATATATGACAAAATAAAAATTAATATAACATAAATATTAATAAACTTCTAAGTAAAGTTAACCAAAAGTTATGTAATTAATTACGCATCGTGTGAACACCCTACAGATTAGGTATACACACACACCCACACACACGCGTGCGGCGGCGTGGTGTTGTATCAACACGCCGCCGCACGCGTCCACACTTGGAACACTTGGAACGTATCCACACTTTATTTATTTATACGAAAATTTGGTCAAAAATTAAGTACCTATTTTTTTACATAATTCGAATGAGAATCATGTACCGAGTATTCTCCTTAAATATTGATAGTAATTCACCAGTCACCCTGTATAAGATCTCATTACTAAAGTAACATAAGTATCAATAATTATTATGGATTAACAACTTTTTTTACTTACAACTTAAATCTATATAAGAGCTTCTAGTCATTCAAAATGTACATAATTTTTTCGAAAAATTGATAAAGGATTACAAGTTAAAACCTCATTTAGTATTGATAGAAAAGATTTTTAATTAATTAATAATGTAATAAATGCATAAATGACATTTGAAACAAATTGAATGTTGAATGTAATATAAACGTTTGTGATTGAGAAACGTTGCTCTGGAAGTAACAGTTGGCTTTCAAAACAGCATTTACGAATAAATTTGTCTTATAAATTACAAACATGATTATTACTTTAAAATAACAGACCTGAATATATTCAAGGGCTTATTTGACTTGAAACTAAGTCTTAAACAAGAATAGTATTTCACGTAACTTTAAAAAAATTCTCGCTAATATTATACATACACACGTCACCCCTATTATTAATATTATAAATGCGAAAGTAACTCTGTCTGTCTGTCTGTTACGCTTTCAAGCCTAAACCACAAAACTGATTTTAATGAAATTTGGTACAGATATAGAGTTGACCGTGAGAAAGAACATAGGATAGTTTTTATCCCAGACTTTTGAAACGTTCTCTTGGAAACGCGATATAACCGAATTCCACGCGGTCGAAGCTGCGGGCGGAAAGCTAGTTTGCTATATTTGTAAGAAAAATTATTGTATAGCTCTTTGTTTATCTTTTAAATGAACTAAAAACAAAATTATATCATTTAAATGGAACTAATATTTTTTGGATATACTATGTACGCGTGTTTAATTAGTTGTAATAACATTCTTCTCATCTCGTCTACCCGTGATTACGGTTGCTGAAAAGTAACCGAAACGTCGGGATTATGTAGTTTTCACAAAAATAAACCGCATAGTATATCCGAATAATATTAGTTACATTTAAATGAATACTCGCGAAAGTTTTAGATCTCATTACAAAATTATATCAATCATCAACGTTTTATATAGACTCACGTCTGAAATTTCATTCAATGCCTTGATGTATTCTTCTACTTGTGGCGCAGTCGCTAGCGGTGGAGCTTGACCTGGTGGTGGTCTTCTACTACAATAGATCTGCCACTTCTTAGCTGCTGGCAGCTCCATCATTGCTGCTTTGTTGACCGCTGTTAGGTCAAGCTCCTCCTGAAAATAATAAAATAGATTGAGCGAAAAATATACCACAAGGAACAAAATCATTTTATATAACTGTAGCCTTATTACATGTTATTAGTCAAATTGTATATGGATAGTGTATAATTTGATTCACAAATAAGATAGTATTAATAATAATGTAAATATATGAATTGAAACTTTAAAACATTTCGTTTTTACTTAACGATGCATACATGTGGTAAACATATTAAGAATTAATACCTATATGTATTGTATATACGATATTGTAAAACCACAACAATTTTACGACAACTCTGTTAAATGTTGAAGTCAAAATAAAAACAAACTCGATCACAAGTTAGACACAAAAAATTAAATATATAAGGATCTCGTTAATACGGAACGAATACATTAATTGCATGTGGAATTCCTAATGAAATTCAATTAATTAACTTGATACGCATAGGAAATAGGCAAATGTATCCTTAAAAGATGACATGTCGAATACCAAAAGGTAACCGGATCTAAGGCTCTGTCGAACCTTCACACGAATACTTCGAAATCGAAAGGAAATTCTAAATAATGTCGGTGGTATTAAAAAATTACTAAAATAAACTAAATATTATTTGTATTTTATGGATAAAACTATTTTGACGGTCCCTTAAAAGCGATATTAAAAATGTAAGTAATTAGAGTTTGTAGGATCAATCAAGATTATACATATAATAAATAATATTATTCTACAACTTTATAATCGTATATGAAACGAGCGTAAAACTTTGAAAACGTTATTTTCTTAACGAGTATTTAAAGCATATTATAATGTTATGGAAGCAAATAATAGATTATGTACCTACTAATTACATACTTGTATAGGTTTTTAAGGTTTCTTATATTTGTAAAACGATAGAAGATACACTTAGTAAAGTTTTACCACAAAAAAATAATTTATACTCAATTTTTTAAATCAAACCATGCAGAAAAAGCCACGGGCATACGTTCGTTTTTTTGTAAATAAAAATATAAATTAAGAAGTATTCTTACATGACTATGAAATGGAACATACATGCTTTATACCTTGTATTTTCACATACAATTAAGATATTAGAAATTGATCACTACCAATCGAATGATATTAATGAAGTTGTAAGTAAACAAGTGAAAGCAATAATCATAAAAAGGGAACAAACAAACAAACACATAATAAGACAGACAAACAAAGATAATTTTACTAGTCATTGGAACTAATCGATTTGACGTAACACAACTTATGACTTTCATCCTCACACATAATGTTACAAGAAAAAAATATATTTACTATTGATATTTGTGAGTGAAATCAACTCTTTGTTAGTTTAAATTACTTTTATCATGACATAGTGTTATTAAAGGTTTGATTGGAGAAAGACATACACAAGATTTGAAACTGAATAGTACAACAAGAAAGTAATGGCAAAAACAAATCGATTCCTCCCAAGTATATTATTGTATCTCCAAAACTGTAAATTTACAAAAGACCGTTTCAAAGATTCAAATTAAAGCAAAATCTGCTAAATTTGAAAATTACAACATTAGGTATGCGTCTGACAAATCCTTTAAAAATAGTTTTTTTGTTGTTTTTTACTTTGAATGTACATATATGATCCATAATAGGATATTTTTTAAAAAATAGCAAAATAGCAATTTTGTGGTAAACAACAACTTACGTGAGAGGTATCGAAATATTAAACATAATATTATAAAGATTTTATTTATTAATATAATGCATGCGCGGACGAAGATGCTGTATATAAGTATATGTGATAAACTAGAACACAGACATATCAATAAATATATTAAATTAGAATATGAAAGATAGCTAGAGTGGGCTAACAAAGAATGTCAAGGTACAGCCACGCCCTGAGATGAATTTGACAGAGTATCTGATCTGGACAAAAGAAAATACTTAACATACGTCGCTTCCTGATGATTCAGTTTAAAAACTTACATACATTGACCTACATACCGAACTAAACCTAAAAAGAATGAAAAATAATTCACTGCCTCACAATTAAAGTATTTTAAATTACTTTTAGTGTTGAAGTAATTTTGAGTAATAACAAAGAAAATGTTATCTATTTAGCTGGGAATGTTTTAATCTGTCAGTGTACAGTCCATATGTGAATTAACCAATTATAATACCGTAGCCTGTCTTAATTACAACGATTACACGTACATATTGCGACGTCTAATTATTCAGATTGCTGACAGACATGTACGAAATAAACGTATATACATATATGTTTGTTTACTTGTATGTTTGTTCAAATTATATATATTATGGGACGGAATATTATACTATGGTAAAGGATTGACCATTAATAAGCAACCACAGAAAGCTCTAACCTTTATACAGACAAATAAATATATTATTATTATTTACAGATGTATGTTAAGTTGTAGTGAAGAAATATAAAATTAAGAGGAAACTTCCTTAAAGTGATTGCATAAGAAATTTTCTACGAAGAAGTTAATTGTTATAAATTAAATAATATACAAAGAATACTATGAATCCGCGTTCCTTGGATTTGACGTCTTTGGACCTATGTATTTATATATATACTTCTATATAAAAACTGACACACAAGTCTATACAATATGTGCTTACATATTATGTGGACATATTGACAATTTAATCAAAATTTTTGAGGCTTTTTAAGTAGCTCTTAATTAAAATCATCTCAACATATTGACTAAAGTTAATTTGGGTGATATTAAAGAAACTTAATATTAAATGAATTGTGGAGGATTTTAATCATTAATAACTTTCCTCTATAAAGGAAAATCTATATTAAATTTCCACCAATCAATTAAAAGGTTTATTGACTGCGTACGGACCTTGTAGTAATTAAAACAGGCTTATGAGTGTTCATACAGAATCCTGTTCAGTAAAATGACTTTAGAATCGTAGTTACGTGTCTGAATTTTCAACACTATAAATTTATTTTTAAATGTTTGGTTGGGTGTATATGAATGTTCGTTTTTCTTTTACGCCAAAACTACTAAACTCGATAATTAGTCGTTATTAAAACTGAAAAACTTTATATCCTTAATTTAACTAGTAGTTCATTTTGATGCAATTTTCTCTATTGTAAAAAGTCTCGAAGCTTTTATCTAAGTAATTTTACAAATGCTGTCGTATAAGCGCCTATAAAGTATAAGTACTTATTGGCCGGGTATACTAGAAAGTTAACAAATTGTCAGTTTTGGTACATTACTTTCGAACATAACGGCTATTTTATTTCATATAGTAACTTAAAATATGATTCTTGTTAATGTGAAGTTTCTATACGCAATTAATGAAGCGTATTGAGGAAGCAAAAACATGCTGCCAACGTTGACTTTACTATATTGAATATTATTACTAAGGAAACGTATATATATGTATGTATATACATACATATGTATTATGTATTAAAATAGCAAATATAAAGTCAAAAATAAATAAATTTTAATTAAAGAAAAATCGAAACTGCTGGGTACGAACCTACGCCCTTCGGCTGAACCTTGACTATTATAAATCAAGTACAACATTGTTTTTTTTTAAGAAGAAAAGTATAAGAGGAGTCACTATCAAAATTTTGCCTATTTTGATTGAAACTAATTTTTTCGGATATTACGGCGTTTTTATTATATTATATCTACATGATTCCGACGTTTCGGTTCCTTTACAGCAACCATGATCACGGGCAGTCGAGATGAAAGTGTACTTATTTCATTCATATGAGTATCGCGAATATCTTAGAGATTTAAGATTTTTTACAACGACTACAAGGAAAATTATCGAACGCTTTAAAATATTCGTTAAGATTTGGTAAACGTTTCAACTAAAAGTATGACATATTTTGATTGGATTAAAAACTATTTTACATCAGATATTAAATATTCCCTGTGGAGGACTAGCCAAAGTTCTTAGACTTATGTAAATTTACAATTCAGATAACAGTTATATTATGTGTCATAACTTATAAGTTTTGCAGTTTTTGAATGAAAGTGTCACAAACACACGCACATACATGTAAACGTTAGTATCAATGATAATTAAGAATCGACAATTTATTGTATAAATCGATTCCATCTATTATTATCAATCACAATATATTTTGTAACCTCAAATATCAGAGCGACACTTGTCATTTTGAGTGTGTCAGGTGTCCCTGGATTGTTCCCCAATCAACTAATTATTTTAGAAGTAAAACAATTTAAAGAAGCCTTTTTTTAAGATATAAATAATAAAAAAAAATCCGCGCCAACTTGGATATTAAAAATTAAATTCCATCAAAAAAACACTAACATGTACACATTTTGTCTTTTAGTATTTTTACTTTTTTTATATAAATTCAAATTTATACAATAACGAAATATATAATAACAAACTCAAAATAATCTACCGGTTATAAAGACAATTTTTATAAGTCTTAACTAAAATAACATAAAATGAAAATACATATAATACATATATTAAAAATAGCTCTATAACTTTGTATAAGGAAAAATATTTTAAATAATATTATTCAACAAATATTTATATTATGTTGACAAATAATGTTTTACTTGTGAACAATGTAGTGTTAGACATTTAAAGTATGTGTGTGTTTGCTCACTTAATTAGGTCTAGAATATTTTTTAAGAAACTCTCTCATATATAAATAGTAATAGATCCTACTTATTTTCATTGTTAATACGAAAATTACTGAGGATGTTTGACTGTTTACTGCACTTTCACGAGCAACCTGCTTAACTGACTCCGATGAAACTTTACACTAATGTAGCTTACACATAAGAAAAAGACTTTGGATATAATGTACTATGGAATTCGGTTACTACAGAATCGTAACATAACATTCGTATTTTGCATTAAATTTGGTGAGGCTGTTTTAAAAAACTAGCGAACGAAGTCACAGACAAAAAGCTAGTATTATAAATAAATTAATAAATTCTTGAGGCGAATGTTGTATATACAGTTATGTAAGAAAAAGTAAGACTTTCAAATTAATAAAAGCAACGTCAGCAGAAAATTGATAAATCATCGGAACATTTGTAGCGTACACGAAACATATGGGAGAAATTATTAAGGGGCCCTTGATTATAACATGGAGAAAGTTGTAAACCTCCATTAGTACTTATTATAATGGAATAGAGTTCAAATTACTCTAAAAACTTTATTGATATGAAAATGAAATTATGCAATGGAATAATAGTACAACAATTAAAACAAATGAATAGGTAATTTTAAGCTTTTGTTTTTCACAGCAGCTTCGACGAAGAATATGGAAAGTTATGGAAAAATACATAATTAATTTTAGCTATGTTTTGTTCTAGTATGTACACGTAATATATATTATCAAAAAACGTATAGTAAGCTGAGAGTTAATCCAAAAATAACGAGACATATATTCTAAAGATTATATAAAAAATAATTAATTTGTCTTGTATCACTATACTGTATATATTATAGTGAAATTTCCGCAATGTATATTTATAATATGTACATGTATATTCTTCTTTATATATCTATTAACGTACAATATTTCCTCGAGCTGCGGTTAGCTCTTTATCATAGAATATATATAAATTAATTAATATTATTATAGAAGTTTCTGTTTAACTTATTTGTGTGTCTGTGTGTCAGCAGTCAGCGATTAACTCAGGTACACTTGGTTACATTTCTATAGATTTCTCATTATTATAAAATTTATAGACTTATAAATAATTATGTTCCTTTACAGCAAGTTTTTTAAATAAAAGTATTATATGATCTCATCTAAGACGGTATCTTAGTGATTAAGTCGACCTTCAGTTATTGACGGTGCACTATGACAATTGAAATTCATACATTCATATGACCCTTAATATGTGTATAATTTATATACTCAAAACTGAACGTTTCGCGTTCTTTATCGACACATTATTTTCTTCTTCTACCTGGCAATTTCCCAGCTATAGCCAGGGTCTGCCTTACATTTTGTGAATGGTTTTGGCTAATTGTTTTTACGACCGGCCGCCTGCCTGACAGCAACCCTCTTTGGGAATGCATTAATCAGTGATGTCTCAATACTCTTAGAAAGTACATATGACTCTGAAAAATCACATTGGTACTTGCCAGGATCGAACCCGCACCCTCGTGCATGAGAGGCGGGCCTTTTAACCACTAGGCCACCACAATGTTACAATTAAATCTGATAAACGCTCTGATACATCTCGTATTAGTATATAGAAAATATTATGTAAGGTTGAACAAAATGTATGATAGACTAGTCGGAACTGCGACTTTGTCAGCATCGAATTTATTTATCCCTACTAATATTATAAATGCGAAAGTAACTCTGTCTGTCTGTCTGTCTGTCTGTCTGTCTGTCTGTCTGTCTGCTACGCTTTCACGCCTAAACCACTGAACTGATTTTAATGAAATTCGGTACAGAGATAGAGTTGACCTTGAGAAAGAACATAGGATAGTTTTTATCCCAGACTTTTGAAAGGTTCTCTTGGAAACGCGATATAACCGAACTCCACGCGGCGAAGCTGCGGGCGGAAAGCTAGTTTTATTACTATACAATAATAAATATAATTTCTGAAATAAAAGTAGCCTAATAGTCCGTCAAAATAGATAGATTTGTTTTGGAGATTAGACGGAACAAAAAGTGTTATATATGTATGTTTTTTTTTATGTATAGGCATATGATTACCAAAACAGATGAAATACTGTACTAATAAATACTACTATTACTATATACTACATACTAAATGCCTGATAATGATTAAGTTATGTCCTGTATGGTTTGACCATGAGTGTAGTCGAGATGTTCTTACAGAGCTAGCCTCCTAACAAACGTTGTATACATTACTCTGTGGAAAGCCAATGTCCAATTAGCGGTTCAATTTATTTGGCGTCGTCAAACCAGTTCTCAGTGGGTGAAACTTCACCGCTTGTGTATAGCCTTTCCATTCACGTTAACCTAATCTTAGGACGAGATTAAATAATCTGCGTGGAATGATAGAAACTTCTAATATATAGTGGGAAGATTGAGAACTTAAACCATTACGATGACTCGAAGAGGTTCAGTTATAGTTGTTCATTAAAAAGATACATAGATAAATAAATAGACAGAAGGAAAAGGAACGAATTAATTAAATAAATATAGTTTCCTATTTTTGAAATAATTTTTAATAGTAATTTCCTTAATAGATGTTGTTTTTATTATTCATTTATTAACTGTATATTTTCTATAAAAATAAATTAAATAAATTTTAATATAAATAATATAACGAGTATGACATCTTATTATATTAATTATCACCTCATTAATGTACATACATAACTATAATTACGTAAGACTGAGTCTGATGATTCAATTATATCTAATTATAAGGTGATATTTTTATTTTAAACTATAATAGATTTCTTTGCAACAATAAAATATATAAATTATATTGTATTAGTGAATGTTTTACTGTGTGACGTATGTAAGAACGAGTAGTAACTATGTTTTTATATTTCATCCTGAATGAATCACTTCATACGTCAACTTCGTGTATTTGGCATTATGTATAGCCTATCAGAGCCCACAGCTTAATAAGCTTCTTATCAAACCGAGATGGTTATGGAATGAATTACCACGCTTGCTCAAGACGGATTGACGACTTCAAACTATTGTTAAATTAGATTATTATTTTTATTTGTCGTTAATCGGAATTATCACAAAAATTAGTATTTTTATAATTAGTACTGAAATAAATATGACAATATATTTTTCTTAATTATTTTAGTTACAAACAGAGAACTTATAGCATCTTCACAAAGGATGTATTATATTTTTTTCAAATATAAATTTAAATTGAAATATATTATTAACAAGATATAAATAAAGGTATATTAATATAAAGCTTCTTATTTGCAAATAAATATGGTTAAATATCATCGTGTACTTACGAGTACCACGAGATATCCCTAGAGAAAGCAGCCTTTGGAATTTTCAAACAGCATTTGTACTTACTTAAAACTACCAGAACCTTCTATTTAAATGAGATATTTATATGATAACTTAAAATATAATAAATTCGAATTATTTAAAGAATAATTAATATAGTGTGAAAATTAGGTATATTGTTATTATATTATTGTCTCAGAGTTATATACATATATTCACAAATACATGAAAATCTGTTCGTTTCATAAGTGAAAATCTATTTTGTATTTATATTGAAATAATTCAATATTTTATACATCCAATTACATATATAATGAAATCATATGTTAATAGTTAAAATACGTATTATATATGAATGTTTATTTTAATAGCAGCTAAGACTATTGAACTTTTATTTCAACACTGCTTTCGATAACAAAACAATCGTACCCATAATGTTTAACAATGTCATTAGAAAAAAATATCTAGGTATTTATTTAATCCTTTATTAACAAACAAGTTTGTCAAATATGGCACTTAACAACTCCTCACACCTAGTAATTTTTTTATAAACTACTAGAAGACCTGGCGAACTTCGTATCGCCCTATAATCAAGAAATATCTATTACGTTTTTTTATTTATTTATGTTTTGAAGTGCGACAGAATGATTGACATATTAGTTAGTTGTCAAATCTAATGTCAAAAAAAACCTTTGTATGGTAAATAGAAAAGGGCTTTTTTATGGTTTTCCCAGTAATGAATCAATTTTTTTCAGCTTTTATACCTTCCCTGAACCTCCACGAACATTTCAAGACTAAGATAAGATAAAACCGTTCAGCTGTTCTCGAGTTTTAGCGAGACTAAGGAACAGCAATCCATTTTTATATATATACTAGAAGACCTGGCGAACTTCGTATCGCCCTATAATCAAGAAATATCTATTACGTTTTTTTATTTATATTTTTGGAGTTTACCTGTAAGCCATAAATCTCCGTGTTTTGAAGTGCGACAGAATGATTGACATATTAGTTAGTTGTCAAATCTAATGTCAAAAAAAACGTTTGTATGGGAAATAGAAAAGGGCTGTTTTTATGGTTTTCCTAGTAATGAATCAACTTTTTTCAGCTTTTATACCTTCCCTGAACCCCCAAGAACATTTCAAGACTAAGATACGATAAATCCGTTCAGTTGTTCTCGAGTTTTAGCGAGACCAAGGAACAGCAATCCATTTTTATATATATAGAAGATATAGAAGATATCATAGCCATACTATTCATTTCCTATTACCTTTAGCATGAGTAACGATAGTCTACTTAACTACCGATAGTTAGATCGTTATTATCATAAAATCTCTCATATAATCTATTCAACACCATAAGTATTATTTAAACGTTGCAAACTTCTATTAAACGTATATAAGTATGTGTGACTTACCACTAGTTCAGCAAACTTGGCGTCTAGTTCATCTTGGGGAGGCATGGGGTGTGTGGGTGTGACTGCTTGTAGAGCCAGGCCTCCCTCTCCTCCCACCACGCAATACGTGATCTCTGGAGGTTCGTCATTCTGTTCAACATAATAACTACATTAGAATAGATTCATTATCATCATCATCAGCCTATCAGAGCCCACTGCTGATCTGCCTCTTCTCACATGGAGAAGGTTTGAGAATTAATCACCACGCTTGCTCAAGACGGGTTTGTGATTACAGTATAGATTGGAGATTTGGAACTTAAAAGAAAACTTGGTCTAAACTAAGTTACTACAGCAGATACGAAAGTTTGTAAGGACTAAGTTAAAGACATCTTCATTAGAGGAAATACAATGATCATGCAGTTCAGGAACAAAAAGCTTTACGACGTAATTGGCAGAATATCTTCTAAAACCTCATATATGAAAATAAAACCTCCTTTCGTAAGAAATCAAAAAATATATAGGTATATCTTTTGAAAATCTAATTCTAAGTAATATGACATTTGAACGTATTTTTTTATTCATAAACTATTAATTAATAATTATAACTTTATTATTAGTATCAAGTACACACTCAGGTGAAATGAGTTCAAGTAATGACCTTACCTAAAAGGGAAACGAAAACAAGACATAATAACTTATGAACAATTAACATTAAGGTTTTCCAACTTGGGATGTATAAAATACAACTGTTTACATCAACCAACAACTATATATAAGAATACATGGAAAAACATATATATATGTTACGCTTTGTTTATAAAACTTTTAAGGAAAGTAACTTAAGATAAAGTGTGCCACGTTATCATAGGAAGTATCGAAATATCATACGGATTTGGTAGTTGTTATTATAATCAATTAATTACATATTTAATTATCTTTCTGTTTAATCGAGTTTAAGAAAATGATAAATGAATAGAAATCAAAAAATATCATTTTAGAATCAATTTTGTAGTTTATGTTCTTGTCCTTATAAAACAGACAATAGGACTTTGTGATCGTACAAAATATTTTTATTTCCTTCTAACTACTTAAATATATTACATTATATACTCTTCTCAAAACATTATATCAGATTACTCTTAAAACTGGAAGCAAAGTTATTAATTCTTTGAAAGGTATAATCGTTCATACTTTAATGAGAAATCAGAGTGACATATATATATCTGTAGTACATAATATTCCAGTGTGTGATCAACCTTATCTTCGTATAAGGAGTTCAATGTTATCAGTGTAATGTATCAATTTAATATATAACCTCAACACTACCAACTTTCACTCACAGTGACTATTAAGGGTTTAAACTTTAAAGTATTCACACTCACACTATCTCACATACTGACCATATTTTTCTTTAAAAGTACGTAACATGTTGTTATTTATGCTAATTGGTTACAATTCTGTTAAGTTTAAGAGTATGTCCAAGATATTTTCATTACAATATTTATTAAAAAGGATATTGAATTTTATATCTAAATATTAAAGTATAGATTAGTATGTAGGTATTTACAAACATACATAAATAATTTTATATATGAATCATAACTAAATTAGATCTACGTCTTACACGGCTGCAGCCAGCATGAGAAACGTTTTGAGACTTAAGGCGTTTAATAAAACAAGAAATTCATCATGAAAGACATTTAGAGATAAACATCCGTTTTGTTTAAATATAAATTATAATTAAATCAGCGGAAAATTACTATATTTTGGTCATTTTAGAGTTCAGCTTTGTTGAGCTCTAGTTGTGTGAGAGATACATATCTGTTTATACATATATGTTATCTACAAAAATCATCTATAATAATCTCGGAAGTTGATTGAATCAGTTTCGAGTCGATAAAACTTGTCATTGTAAACAAATAATGTTGTTTTCGCCGTCTCTGTTCTTCTATCGACACTCCATAGATGTACAGCCTTTTATAATAATTAATTAATTATTCAGAAAGACTTTTTAAACTAACAAACGCTTTGAAAGACAATCAAGACATACATGACTTAACATTCTTTCTGAGTATAGCTTAAAAACATAGCATTCTATGAGCCTCGATGGCATTAAAAACTATCTTCTATTAACTCTAAAAAGTAAAGGGCATGTTTATTCCAAACTCATTTAAATATCAGTACACTAAAACTTAAGATAAACCGGGAACAGCAGTTGACGTAATACAAATATTTAATCATAATCGTCAACAAACACAATCGAACAATAAGACATAATATTTAAATAAGTAACAATGGAATATTTTATTATTTATATTGATATTATAAAACATGTCATTGTCATAATATTTTACAATATAATCAAGATTCAATACTATATTATATTAAACTGTCTCTTTGAGTCAATAAAATAAAACTGACGCAGTATAGAATATTGTATTTATTAAATAAAACTAAGTTTTTGGAGCACTACGAGATTTTTATTATTTTATATGTACATAATCAAGACGTTTGGGTTCCTTTACATGCATGATCACGGACAGACTAGATGAAAGATTGAAAGTGAAATAATAAAGAATTAAAAGCTTATTTTCATTTAAACACGTATACCTGAAAATCTTAGGTATCGTTCAAATATATTGTAAGCAATTTGAGAGTAACAATGATTATCTATATATGTGTGTCTATAATTCTTTCTAAATGAATACCACGTATTATTTCAATCCTTTCTTCTCAAATATATAATATATATTCGTAAAGTAAAATGCCGACAATCCGCTGCATTATTTCGATCGATGACTTCACCAGTCCGATCCGTCTGAATAAATTTCATTCATCCGTACGTCTTGCAAAACTTTATTTACTATAATACATATTGTTTAACGTGAAGTCATACCTTAAACAGACAGTAACAGACGAAAACTAATATCCTACATTACAGAAGTCAACAACCTACTCGACAGAATGTACTTGTGTTAATCTTATCTGGAACGCATATTGGGTTCATGATAAAAAATATTTCTCTAGACGAAATAAATATTCAAGCAAAATAGTGTCTGTATATTATTCTCTTCAAAAGAGATTTTCTTAGTACATAGAAGAGATTGTAGTATTTATTCATTTCAAAGATAACAAAAAAATATCAATATATTATTTCTGACACACTCCACTCGTTATGGGATATATATATTGTATAAAGTTCTTATTGTATACAAGTTATTAAACTTTGTAGGTATATATATTTTTTTATATCATGTCATATCGCTGTAAGCAAAACACCTATAATAATAAATGATATATCAACTTGACAGCTAGAAACTAAAACAAGATTATCTGCCAACAAACCTTCGTTATTTTCCAAAATTTATTACCTAAATATAAATATTGAAATTTAAAGAAAAGGAGATTGTATTATAACGACCTTGAAAGGTCAAATTCCCTTACAAAGGACAATCTCACGAGAACTAATATTCTATAACAAAAACTTTAATAAGCGTCTCGGCTTGAAGACATTATTTCAAAAATGTATCAAACAAAAACGTCCTTGACTGTCTGATGGACTAATTTGGACAAACTTATAAGGGACAATTACAGAGAAATTTGGTTACAAAAAGGTACAAGTGAATTCAATGCCTCACTTGTATATACTCGTACATATGTATATGAAAATATTTCTTCTTATATCTCAACATGATTCAATCATGATTTTTATTTACATTTTACGTTATTTTCATTATTTTCTGTGATGGGTATAAATTTCTTTAAGTATTAGTCTCTGGGACATAACAATAAGTCGTGTATGGCAGTTTCTTCAAGTCTTTCAACATATTCTTCACTATATTAACAGCCTTATATATTATTCTCCAACTCTTATGTCATTATTTATGTACTTTATTCATTTTAAACGTTAAATATAGTCGTAAAAGGTAGTCCAATTTGCATAGATTATATGCTATCTTTCATTCAAGACCTAGTTGAGATTTCCTTTGGGATGCTTGGGACTAAAACTATCGTGTATTTAAGCACAGTAGTTAATCAGTATTAACCTATGTGATACATTCATTTTAGTTGTTAAATAGTGCAAAGATATTATTACTAGACCCGAGTCCTTTCAAAGCTTTAAAAATATGTCAATCACTGAATTTAAGCTTAAAATACGCACAATTAATTTTCAGGATAGTTAATATTAGAAAAATATTATTTTCCATACCAATTAAGTAATATAATTATTACGACATTCAATGTTTATATCATTTTTCTTTATAAAATAAAACTTCATCACTTTGGGTTATGTCAAAACACACTTAATTTTATATGTTTTGCACCCCGTTTCTCACCCAAATACTCGTATAACTTAAGACGAAACAAATAACGTCGTATGTACTCATATCTCAAACTAAATAAAACTAAACTCACTCCATTTTTCCCCGAACATTTCCTCTTCGAAGACAGTCCATTTTTATTCTTTCTCTTTCTCGAAAACATCACTAGCACTGTTTAATATGAACACATCATTTTATAGGTGCACAGTTATAGTGTAACACGCGTCGTGACAGACGGACACATAATGTACGCCTGTAATTAATAACGTGGGCAGCAACCTCTTGTTTCGTTCTAATACGACACACAATTAGTCCTGTTAGCTTTGCTTATATTTTACGAGATAACTATATGAATCATGTTGGGGAAGTTAAAAATGTATTTAATATTAGTTATAATATTAGTTATAATGTTATTATAGAAATATTAACTGTGTTTTTTGAAGTAATACCCGATTTTATTATTTTATAATTTATCGAATTTAAGATTATTTTATAGCATTCGTGATAAGCCACAGAGGAGATGAAAGTGTCAAAAATACTTATTAAATTCGTAGTACATCTGAGAAACATAGTAAATTATAAATGTGTATTAACGAAAATGTTCAATAACATAATATTATTATAGTAAAATAAAAACATTATTTTATCAGGTTAGACACTAGCATCTCGCAAAATCTAATTTTACTATCATCGATAAAATCGACAATAAAAATCCAGAATATACCTTGCATTAGAGCATATATTATATAACTAGTTAATATTTGGACTAAAGTTTAATATAAATTTGAAAATCATCCCAGTCATAATATTTAGTAGTTGAACTCTCAATAGCTTTTCACTAACAGACAAAGGTAGCATTCGAATCTTATAGAATTTCGTAATGACCTTAACTAAATGCCAAATATCTCAAGTACAATGGCTCATTCACACATATATATTCTATAGAGACTTAATTGACTGTATTATTGTATACGACTGTGTTTATAAAATATGTACTAAATGAATGCATTTAACGACTACCATCAAACGTTTCAAATGAAACGAAATTAAACTTTATTCATATAGAATATAATTAATGTTTTAATGATGTTCATATGACTTTAGAAACATTTGATCGTATAATTCATTTAAATGAAACTAATATTTGTCGGATTACTCCGCGTATTTTATTATTTTAAAAAACTACTACCGACGTTTGAACATTCAAATCTCGTCTGTCGTGATCACGGTCGCTGAAAAGTAACCGAAACTTCGAAATTATGTACTTTTCACAATAATAAAATATCGCATAGTAATCCGAAAAATATTTGTTTCATTTATATGAAAACTCGCGAAAGTCTTAGATCTCATTACGTATAATTCATTAAATGTAAATTTGAATAAAAATATGCTTGACTTAAATTAAATTAAATAAATGAAGTTTATAAGGGCAATATCATTATATTTGTAGTTGAAGCTGTATAAGTAATCAAACAAATTTTCCCTTGATTGAAATTAACTAGACTTAGATTACTTCCTGGCTGGGAACTCACACAGCAAGTGCTCACTGGTCTAGTTAATATATAAAACTTAGAAATACTAATGATTCAATACTAGTATGATAAATTTCATTAATAACTTGTCTCATAGAATTTATAGGAAACATTTGTTTTGTATCATTGAAGATAATTGACTTATTAACAGTTTTTAACTTGCATATTGTATGCTTAAAGATTAACATATCTTTTTATTAATATATATTTAATTTAACTCCATAATTAAGTTTCTTTAAAAATACTTTCAATATATTTTGTCTTCGAAGAATATAAAATTTTAATATACAATTTAAATATTGACCTACCTCAATACATATTTCGTTTTAAAAGTAAAATTTTGTTAAATTTATTCTTTTATTCAAATTATCGAATTAATTAGTTAAAAATCTTAATTTAAATTTCAAAGGTTATTTTTTATTGTTTCCAACAACAGAAAAAAAATGCTCTAAAATATATTACTTATATAACGCGGGTCAAGGTTAACAATACTTATAATATTTTCTCCTGGACTATAATCACACACTCATTTTCATAGGTATATTTGCCATACTTATACCTAGCGGTCGATACTCGACCATAATCAATTGATTATTTCAAGTTCAATACTACAATGGGAGTCATTATATTTGACATTTGGTGATAATGCACACATTGACAAATCTTCACGTATTGATATATGTATGTGCGTGTGTGTGTGTCAAAATCATGGTACTGTGTGTGTGTGTGTGTGTGTGTGTTTACATTTCATACAAAATAATTGTTGTTTTATGCCCTTTTTATATAAAATATGTCTATAAATATTGATATATTTTTTACGCTTCACGTCTTAATATAATGATCACAATGGATAATTCCTTAAGCGTCTTTCACAAAACCACTAAGTCACCTTGATCGAGTAACTCGTTTGCATCGAGTAAAACGCTCGCTTATTGAAATACATCGCGGAATAAATGACTTTTGTGAATATATTCATAGATTTATTTGATATAATTTTGCTAAAAACAATAAAATAACCTTTTAGTTTCAACGATATTTCTAATAATCTCATATTCAAAATTTACTCTCAATTTTATTTAAAGTACACCTGCGACTTTACATATATTGTTTGATATTTAAAAATTTTAATTATTTAATATAAAAAATATATTTAATAAATAAATTAACTTTATATACATACGTGTTATTAAAACACACGTAACTGAACATGACCTTATAAAAATGTTGATTTTAATATATTGATAATTAATCAGTGTTTTTAAGATCTACAATTTACTTTAAACGAAATTTTTCTTTCATATAAAATAAAAAACAAAATATTCCATTGAATTTGATAGCAATATTTACGATCAGACAGGACAAGAACACTACATTAAAATATTAATATATGATCAGTAATAGTCTACACTACACGATTTCGTTAAAAGTAGTATGTAGTGTAGTATGTACCTGTGATAAATAAACAAGTGCAGTGAAAGTAGTTCAAATCTGTGATGATGAGACAGTCGCTACCTGATCTGTACTCTGACACCATGAAACATGATCTCCGTACATCTGACACCTTCAACTGGACCACTCTTGGTACCAGATACGAATAGCTAGTGAGCATTGAACTATGAAGCTTATATACCGCTAATATAGTAATATTATAAGAATAATAAATATATTTATAATAAACAAATTGTTGTAGTATCAAAAACGGTAAATTGAACAAAAATATATAAAATTAAAATATATATATTAAGTAATTCAATGTCAATATTGTATTTATTAACATTTTGGAATATGTTGAGAATCAATTTTAAGAAGATTTCCGTATACAGGGTGACTGGTGAATTACTATCAATATTTAAGGAGAATACTCGGTACATGATTCTCATTCGAATTATGTAAAAAAAATAGGCACTTAATTTTTGACAAAATTTCCGTATAAATAAATAAAGTGTTGACACGTTCCAAGTGTTCCAAATGTGGACGCGTGCGGCGGCGTGCTGATACAACACTACGCCGCCGCGCGCGTATGTGTGTGTCAGTGTATACCTAATCTGTAGGGTGTGCACACGATGCGTAATTAATTACATAACTTTTGGTTAACTTTACTGAGAAGTTTATTAATATTTATGTTATATTAATTTTTATTTTGTCATATATGATCGTCAAATATCACGTCCTCAAGTATCGATAGTAATTCACCAGTCACCCTTTATATTTGTTAACAATAATATTAAATATACATATAAATGAAACTAATATTTTTCGGATATAATACGCGACTTTAAACAAAACTACATACTCCCGACGTTTACAAAAATAAAGTCGCCTAGTATATCCGAAAACTATTAGTTTGATTTAAATGTATAAAACTCACTTAAATCTTAGATCTCTTTATATATACATATATATGTATATATATTATTTGAAATATTAAATATCACGTTCTAAATATTACTGAATATTATATAAAAACCTAATAATTTTTCTTAAATTCATAAAAGATCTTTGTACGTACGCCCTTGACGTTCCGCAGTTAGATGTAACGAACGGACGGATAAAAACATCCTGCCGAATAATGAGGTCAAATAGACCTCTAGTAATATGTTACTCAGATAATATGATACTGTATTTATAGACAAAAGAATACGATACTTTGATTGTAATTAATTTTAATATCATTAGAATAAAGCTAGGATTGCTTTGAAAATTATGTTTTTATTATGTATTTACATACAGACACACATACATACATACATATGTGTGAACAAGTCAAGTACATCTCTACTAATATTATAAATGTGGAAGTAACTCTGTCTGTCTGTCTGTTACGATTTGACGCCTAAACCACTGAACTGATTTTTAATGAAATTTGGTACAGATATAGAGTTGATCTTGAGAAAGAACATAGGATAGTTTTTATTCCAGACTTTTGAAAGGTTCTCTTGGAAACGCGATATAACCGAACTCCAAGCGAGCAAAGCTGCAGGCGGAAAGCTAGTTAAATATATATGTTTAACTAATATACTATAAAACAAAGAAGTTTAAAGTGTAAGTTTAGGGGGAACTATTTCATTAAATAAATTTTAATTATTTAATAATGATAATGATATCTAAAATAGTTTTATTGAGGTAATATTGTATTGTTTCAATATTATCGTCTGTATTAAACCGGATTGGGAACGGGTCTCCTTCAATCTAAAGACCATAAAGTCAATAGTGTGACCCCTTCACGAATACAGCATATTATTATATTTAGACAAACATCTTTGATTTTATAGATTCATTTGATTTTAGGTTTATGTTTACTTAAATACTTTTTGACTTTAATATATGTTGGGGCGTTAAAAATTTCGTTTGGTTTTATAACAAGTTTAGAGTTCATATTTAAGACAAAAATATATCGTATATTAAAATCTATCTTTAGTTAAAACTAACTAATTAATAGTTATAAAGAGTGCAACTAACACGAGTTTTTATATATATGTAGATACAAGTATTGACATATATTGTATTGTGTATGTAGTGTATTGACAAAAAATTAACAAATTATATACTCTAATTTTTCTCAAGAACCACGCTATCGAGTGGTGAAATCCGCTTGATAATATTAGTGCCGTAGTTTTACTGTTTATTGGGAACATACGGACAGGCGCGACAGGGGTCTTTATATTATAATATGTATTGATATATGATGGTACCTGTAGGCATGGGCACATGGGCCACCTTCTCCTCAGAGCGTGCGGCATCTTCTTCCGCGGCGGCTGGTCGGTGGCTTCCCCGCACGCCCAGCGGACGAGCCGCAAGCGGGCAGCCTCCGCCGCCTCCAGACCTCGAGACCACGACGGTAGACCCTGGGGAAAAGGAGAGTATATATGAAAAATTGGCATACACTTACACTAGACCCTGAAGAAAAGAAGAGAAGCTATAAAAATTAACATTCATGGAGTCTAGACTCTGAGTTAATAAAGAGAGGATATTAAATTGATACCATGGGTTGAATCCTCAAGATTTTTTGGCTTAAAACTATACTTTTTCAACTAACTATTCTTTTTCCGATCTGTAATGTGAGATAAACAAATGAAAGACTTTCAATAGAAAATAACAGCGAATGTCCAAACATATGGCTGAGATAGAAAAAACCGAGATGTTATTCAAAGTTTCAGATGACACAACATTATTCTAAATGAATGCTTTATAATAAAGATGTTCAGAAAAAGCCATTATATTATAAACCTAATAAGAAAATACGTAGAAATAGAAAAACAACTAAAAATTAATGAAGGACTTTATTACAAGTTAATTAGTGCCATCTAGCCCAAATATTAGCCCATACTATTCAAACCATGGTGAAATTCCATAGACTATTACACTGAAATATTCAAGACAAGCTGTTATGATCGTGGCTCAGATACATATCAAATATTTTACATAATCCAGACTTTAAAGTTCAATACAGAAAGATTTATATTCATAACAGTTTCAACAGTAGCAAGGCCGCACATTATAAATTTAATCGATTTGACTTAGCACAAATTAAAAAATTTACATATCAAACTAATCTTTTTATTAAGAAATTTTATGATGATGACACTTGATTGAAATTTGTATGTTATTACCTAATATATCTATATTTTAAAGCATTTATATTAAGCCAATAGCTTGCGCAATAAATCGATTAGAATATATGAAAGCAAATTCCTTAAGCAATATACACGCAGTGTGATCTACATAGACACTTTTACTTGATACATATAAAACACACATTTTCACAAGTCCACTGACAGCTGATAAAAAATGTCAAGTTATTTTACCAACCTCCAGTTCTCTTGGTCACAAAATAAATATTTAGTGAAAATCGATGCTACATTCTTCGATAACTTTCTATATCATTATGTTATTATAATTAATCGGATTATTTCGTTTATCACTAATTGCACTTCCTACATTTCACTTGAATTAATTTTACCAGGTAGTGGCTAAAAGCATATATTTAATTATCTTTTTTGTGGCGTTATATGGGTAAATTATGACTCCTCTACATGTGAAGAGTTCTTAATACTGAATGTAATGCAATTGAAGGGTTTGCTTATAGATTTTTTCGTAATAGAAATTTAATGAACCATAATTTCTTGCTACGGATTTGAACGATCAATATCAAGTATATCTAAAGGTATATGTTATTTGGGCAAAAACCGCAAGAATCGTAAGGCTTACGGAAAAACGAAATTGAGTATCTCATTAAAAATTACAAATTCATAGAAGAAAGAGACATTCTAACACATGATATATATGAAACGACAACATTATCCTCCAATTGAGGAGATAAAAACAACGTCTTAGGCAATTTTTAACAAGATAACAACATTAAAGTATTCTTAAGTAAGATAATATTCAAATTCAAATGAAAACATGCATATTCATTAACAAATAGAAATTATTTGTAATAACAAAAGTTTGTCAAAAAATTTTCAAAACAAAAATAAATGACATCTTATTAACATTTACCTTATTGAGTTGAAAAATTCTCTTCATCAGAATCACATAGAAATGATATATAAAATGATTACCATTTTATTGGTCATTAATTGAGATGTGAGATCAATTATTCATGATTTAAGAGGTGATAATGACGCGTCACGTATCTTGTATCTATGATCAAGTTGGACCAATGATCCGTACGAATAAATAGATCTTACACCGAACATGTTGTGAGACAGAGGATATGTTGACACGTGTTTTACATTGAATGGAAAATTAGATTTAATTTGTACCAAAGAAAACTTCAAAGACAATATAGTTATGCCGCGGTAACCTAATTGTTAAATTAACTGGAAACTTATATTTCAAAGATTACAAATTCGATTCTTGCTTATTCTTAACTTGTTATTTTATGTACTATTTTAATTTTACGATTACGATCTCAAAGTTATCTATAAGCTAAAGGTTTAATTTATATTTCTGTTAGGTTATGATTATATTTTGGAGTATTTTGGACTTCAATTTTGGTCAAATATATTATATTATTTTTTTGTAATCCTTAGTATTTTATCTTCTATATATATAAAAATGGATTGCTGTTCCTTAGTCTCGCTAAAACTTGAGAACAGCTGAACGGATTTATCTTATCTTAGTCTTGAAATGTTTGTGGAGGTTCAGGGAAGGTATAAAAGCTGAAAAAAATTGATTCATTACCGGAAAAACCATAAAAATAGCTCTTTTCTATTTCCCATACAAACGTTCTTTTTGACATTAGATTTGACAACTAACTAATATGTCGCAGTTCAAAACACCGATATTTATGGCTTACAGGTAAACTCCAAAAATATAAATAAAGAAACGTAATAGATATTTCTTGATTATAGGGGGATACGAAGTTCGCCAGGTCTTCTAGTATAAGTATATATATTAAAGTATTCGTAGAGTAACTGTAACATTGATTTCGTCACAGTCGTACCTCCATTGTTCGTTTGAACTTTCAGTTCGACATTTAGCAAACTGTCGGCTTCGATCGGAACGAAAGATTACGACTCAAATGACTGCTGCCTACACCTGTCTGTACAGGGATAAGTAGCTAGAGAAATAGATATTCAATTACTAATATATATATATATATATACAGGGTGACTGGTGAATTACTATCTATATTTGAGGACGTGATATTTGTCGATCATATATGACAAAATAAAAATTAATATAACATAAATATTAATAAACTTCTAAGTAAAGTTAACCAAAAGTTATGTAATTAATTACGCATCGTGTGAACACCCTACAGATTAGGTAGACACACACACTCACACAGACGCGGCGGCGGCGTGTTGTTGTATCAGCACGCCGCCGCACGCGTCCACACTTGGAACACTTGGAACGTGTACACACTTTATTTATTTATACGGAAATTTGGTCAAAAATTAAGTACCTATTTTTTTTACCGAGAATCATGTACCGAGTATGCTCCTTAAATATTGATAGTAATTCACCAGTCACCCTGTGTATGAAAAATGAATTAAAACTATTGCTCTAACTTACAAAAATGTCAATCCATATATGTATATAAGTCACATATTTCTAAGCAGCAACATTCCTAAACATATAAATTCAAAATTCTGTGTAACGAGTTTTCCTCATAGCCAGCTTCATCAGTAAAAACTGAATTGACTAAACAAATGTTAGGAAACAATATAATAAGAAAATAATGAGATTCAAGACTTTCATACAAATGAAGGTAATATTTTCAGATTAATACGAGTATTTTATTATTTTGAATTCACATCTCGTCTGCCCGTGATCATAGTCGCTGCGAAGTAACCGAAACGTCGGAAGTATGAAGTTTTTAAAAATAATAAAATATGTATAGTATATATAATTCGAAAATATCAGTTACATGTAATAAGAATATATATATATATATATATATATATATATATTTTTTTTTAATTATTTTAACTTAATACCTAGATAAAGTTTTTTTCTAATGTCTAAAGAACAACAATTCCGAAGTCTCTTAGACAGAAATGTTAATGAATTTAACAGGTTTTGTTTAGATACTCTTAAAATATATACATTTTTAGTTTAGCTATAACGACTATATAATTTTTAAAGACTTATCAATATAAGCAGAGACAGGAGAAAGACTTAGTATTGCTTATAATTATGACAGAATGGCTGAAATATTATAATTTATTATTCTAATAGAACAAATTAAGTATCAGTGAAATAGCAATAAAATCTTAATTAACTATTCATATATAAATAACAAAGGCACAATAAAAATCAATGATAACCATCAATAATAATCGATGGTAACTTTCTATGGTGGCCATCGGGTCCATAGCAGTAATAAAACAATGCATGTATTGTGTATGTACTTCACGTTACCAATACTTTCATCTGACCGTGAAAGATGCGGCGAGTGTGTCATGGGGTCAGAACGACCATAGCTATGGACTTCACGTACGCTGGACGAGGTGAAAGTGATATATAGCATCTCCGTTTGAATAACATTATATTACACATATTAACATTGTTCACGGATCTATTTATTGATTTTGTATAATATACTAGCGTATTCGAATTTTGTCAGTGGTGGCCTAATGGTTGGAAGGCCCGCCTTTCGTTGCTGAGAGCGCGGGTTCGATCCTGGCCCGGGCAAGTACCAATGTGATTTTTCCGAGTCATATTTACTTTCTAAGAATATTTAGACATCATTGAATAATGCTGATTCCCAAAAAAGAGGGTTGATGTCAGGCAGGCGGCCGGTCGTAAAAACAATTAGCCAAAACTATTAACAAACATGTAAGGCAGACCCTGGCTAAAGCTGGGAAATTGCCAGGAAGAAGAAAAAGAAGATACTAGCGCATTCGTATTCGATAATTTTTAAAAATTCAAAATGATTTTATTTTAATTCGCTAATTACAACTCTCTAGTAGAACGAGTTATCGGAGAATTTATTGCCTTGTCTTATCAGTGGTGTTTATGGCGCTATTAAGATAATATTTTTGTTTTCTAAATTATAATTAAAAAATCGAATAAAAAATAAATTTTAACGAATTCTACTTAAACAAATCACACAAAATAATATCATTTATATGTAGATACACGTATATAATGCAGAAACTAAATATTATAGGACAAAGTACAAATATAATCTTCCTGTCATAAGCAGGAGAGGTCATTAAATAAATTAAATGTCAAAATATTTTAATTGACACGTGTCAAAGTCACTTCTGACTCCTCAATATGAATCGGTCATTAGAACCTTGACCCCAACATCTGCATAACTAAGCACGAAAACTAATTACCAACATGTCCAATAACACATTAAAATGATTAAGTTTCTCCCGCGTCTTTACTCGTTTAAAATGTACGATGACAAAATTAATTGAAT